TCTTTCCCTCTCCCCTCTCCAAATTAGGAGTTCTAAGTGGGAAATGCTGAAATACTCCATTTTGAATCTTTCAAAAATCAATCTTTTTGACATCTTATTTTAAAATAGACTTGTAGATCCAAACTATTACTTAATCTTAAAAAGGAGGGAAAAAAAAATTGAGTCAAACAGTGAAATAAGCTGCAAACATTGTTTTTCACTTGAGGTTGAACAAACTCTGTGAATTCACCCTAATTTTTCTTCATTTCTCTTCTTTTTCTAACTCTCAGTCCCCCACTCTCTCCATTTGTTTGACCTCTTTTTTTTTCTTTTTTTTTTTTTTACATTTTTATTACTCAGTTCAAGTTTGGTTTTTCATCTATTTAATGAAAGAACACCAGTTACATATTATCCTTATTTCCTAATCAAACCAATCAGTGATCCTAAAGTAATGTCTCTGAGGTTGAGGGAACAGGATAAAGTATTCCATAAGGCAAAAGAATTACAGGAATTATGGACAGAAAGCCCCTACTTGGGAAATGAGTCAGTCTGCTTCTGTCTAGCATAAAAAACCAGCACAGAAGTATAGAGCCTTTAGAAACAGCTTATGAATTTACAGCTTGTATAATAATGAAGTCTCCGTGTCTCTTGTGCACATACGCTAACTCATTCCCCACACATGCATACATACAGGTCTCTGGCGGAAAGACAGGGAATATGCAGTCTGCAATGCATATGAACTTTCTGTTTAGAAGAGAAAAGAGAAGATTTTTTCAATAGGCACAAAATCCCACCCCCTCAGCACCCCTCCTTCCCCTGTGTCTGACACTGACTTCAAGGGAGGAGTTGAGCCAATTATCTGTGAGTCCTACAGAAGGAAAATCTGCAATTTGCCAGTAGTTGAGAGAGGGAGAGAGAGAAAGGCAGGGAGGGAAGGAGAAAGACTTAATTGGCAAACGTAAAGAAAAGCCCCTTCTGTCCTAGAAAGAGAATATTTTAAAGCCAATCTCAGACCAGAAGAAAAGAAGCTGGCAGCAGGGTAAGTGTCAGGCAAGACCTAGGGAAGTGCAGGTTCACCATCGACCACATGCCCCCGCTGGTATTTTCCCACAGGGTCTGAGGTGGTGTATAGGCAGGGTGGGCCAGTCAGATGCATCCCGGACCCTGCACGAATAGGCATTGCTCCAGAAACCCTACAAAGCACAACTCAGAGGAAAAGCGAGAGGGAGACACTCTGCCTCTCCTTCTCTCAAACTGAGTCTGTGAGAAGAGCTCATCTCACCAAAGGGAAAAGCTATCACCAGTTCTGAGACCCTTCTTTAGCCCCTGTTGGCTGCCTGATAAAGTACTTACCATCCATGGGGGAACATCCTCTGCAGCTCTGCGGTCCTGCCCAATCCTGCTAAGTTCCTGGGAAACACTAGTGAAGAGCTGAGCCCAGAGCAAGGAAAGTCCACAGAACAACAGCCTTTTACAGCAGCAGCCACCTCTGATTAAAATTATCAAGCTTCATCAGACTGCACTGAGAGCCAGGACTGCTCCTCCAAGGAAACAGAGGTAAGAAAGCAGCACGGAGTTTGGGATGAAAGTAAGAAACAAACATCCTGCGGGAGTGAATGTGGTGTGCATGAAAATGATGGGGACAGTAGCAGTGATTAACAAGGGACGGGTCTGTTATGCATGGTATAGTTTGGAACTGTCTGTGTCCTTTTTAGCTGGATACAATGACTTAAACTGGGATGGCAAACAGAGACAGAAACAGTAGCCGAAGATTGTGGAGTGCAAGAGAGGTAGTTCAGAAGACTATTAATGGATCAGGAGTGATAGGGAGCATACCTCCTGACAGGAGGGTGGAAACGTGAGGGGTAAAAGCTCTGGGCAGGTTGAATAAAGAATGTCTTCCCTCGATATCTCTGTCCAGGTGCTCAGGATCAAATTTTACAGCACCTCACTAGAATTCAGACAAGCGCTCTTCAGAGCATGCAAATGCAGGTGCATTGTCATTCACTTCATAGTCTGACTATGAAACACACAGTACTGGTTAGCAGGTAGAAGATAACACAGGGAGTCAAAAGAAATGGGGTTTAATGTTGATTTTGGGCAGCTGTTTCAGCTCTCTCTGGGTGTATGAGCCTTTCCTTTTACTAAGGGGAGTCAACACTCCTTGCCTACATTTCTATGACATTTTGAAATCCCTGTACTTTACCAATACAAAATACTAATGCAAAGTTTCTAGCATCAAGCCAGTGCACAAAGCAAAAGGTACAACTGAGAATTAATCTACGCTTAAGCATTTAATAAACTGGGAGGAAAAGATGTAGATTAAAGGCAGCTGGAGGTTGTTTGTCTCGTCATTCTCTTCTGATTGATTTTGCTTTATTTAGTACACAAACATGTGGTCTTTTTCTGTTTTGTTTCTTCTGCCTCTAATCTTTTGCGCTGTACAAGTCTCTGTGCTCCCCCCCCCACCCCTGGGTGTGAAGGCTAAACTTTCATTCCTTTTCAGGGGAGGAAAGAAGGCAGATTGTACTGCACTGGAGAAAAACTGGAGTGGGGGGATAAAAAGAGAGAGCACAAAACACAAATACAAGCTCCCAGGTCAATAGCATGGTCTGAGTCAGGTTTGCAGCAGAGGTGATACAAGTTGCAACTTTATGAATCGAAGTGCTGAAAAGCATCTCTTGACTCTGTGTGAAATGAAATGCAGTCAGGAAAGCACAAGAATCCTCTTGACTGAACACCTTGACAGGTGGAACAAGGACAGCATAAAGAGACTATTTAATACATTACAATCTGCATGCCCCCACACCCCTTCTTCCCCTTCAGTGCAGTTACATCCTTGGGGCAAAGAGTCCTGAAATGGCCACGTCTCCGTTAGCAGGTAGAAGATAACACAGGGAGTCAAAAGAAATGGGGTTTAATGTTGATTTTGGGCAGCTGTTTCAGCTCTCTCTGGGTGTATGAGCCTTTCCTTTTACTAAGGGGAGTCAACACTCCTTGCCTACATTTCTATGACATTTTGAAATCCCTGTACTTTACCAATACAAAATACTAATGCAAAGTTTCTAGCATCAAGCCAGTGCACAAAGCAAAAGGTACAACTGAGAATTAATCTACGCTTAAGCATTTAATAAACTGGGAGGAAAAGATGTAGATTAAAGGCAGCTGGAGGTTGTTTGTCTCGTCATTCTCTTCTGATTGATTTTGCTTTATTTAGTACACAAACATGTGGTCTTTTTCTGTTTTGTTTCTTCTGCCTCTAATCTTTTGCGCTGTACAAGTCTCTGTGCTCCCCCCCCCCACCCCTGGGTGTGAAGGCTAAAGTTTCATTCCTTTTCAGGGGAGGAAAGAAGGCAGATTGTACTGCACTGGAGAAAAACTGGAGTGGGGGGATAAAAAGAGAGAGCACAAAACACAAATACAAGCTCCCAGGTCAATAGCATGGTCTGAGTCAGGTTTGCAGCAGAGGTGATACAAGTTGCAACTTTATGAATCGAAGTGCTGAAAAGCATCTCTTGACTCTGTGTGAAATGAAATGCAGTCAGGAAAGCACAAGAATCCTCTTGACTGAACACCTTGACAGGTGGAACAAGGACAGCATAAAGAGACTATTTAATACATTACAATCTGCATGCCCCCACACCCCTTCTTCCCCTTCAGTGCAGTTACATCCTTGGGGCAAAGAGTCCTGAAATGGCCATGTCTCCATATAGGATTTTGCATCTGATGGGGGTGGGAGGCAGTGTGATTTAATGACCAGAGATGCAAGGGTGAGAAAAGGTGGGAAGGAGAAAGTTTGAAAGGTAGGAGACCCAGAGTCTGTTCATGTTTCTTATTTGTTGGACCTTGGGTGGTCACTCAGCTTCCTTGTGCCTTACTCTTCCCCATTGCTGTGGTGGTAATTCCTTCTTCAAGCTGTTCAGCGTACAGTGGCATTAACCAAGGCCCAAAGCAAAAGAATTAATTTCAAAGTGGAAGACAGAAGTGCCTCTTGCACTATAGGTGCAAAATTAACCCCCCAGGCAGCTCCAGTTACAGTCCACCTCCTTTGCTGTGTGATGGGAGTTTCTCTAATCACCAGCAGCTTAGCAGTTACCTGCCAGCCGGCAGTATCATTTGCAGGATTATGGCTTGTAAAGCTGCTGGCCAGGATCAGGCCCCCCAATGAGCATGTCCTTTACAGGACATATAAGGCATTTGCTTAAAAATCCTGACTATGGTCCCTCCCAGATGCTGCTGCACCAAATTGTACAAAACTGATCTTCAGCAGGTGTGAATCACCACAGCTCACCTGCCCTTATACAGCTACACTGGTCCATCCCAGTCTGAAGAGATGACTCATTTCTAAATACCAATCTTGGACTATAGAGGAGTTTGTAGCTTTTCTTACAAAATCTATCATCCAGGTGTTCTCTGCCAGCTAAAAAAAAAAAAAGACTGAGAGGATGAAGGAAAACATCCCAGAGCAGCCCTGTCACCATTTATCTGCCCATGGATGTAGGATAGTATTGGACAGGCTAGGTAGGAAAGGGCAGAGATAGTGTACATGGCAGTGTTGTTTCAGAGGTTGAATATGGTGTTTCTGCACTGTTGGAGATAGGTCTTGTTCTAAATAAAACAGAGTCCAGCTCAAATACCAGGAATGCTCCTTGCTGTCATTCCCACCACAGCAATCCCAACAGTACCATAAGTCTTCATGTGTGTGTCCAGCCACAGTTATGTTCTGATATTACTGTCTGGCTCTAGTATTACACTGTCCAGAATATAAATCAGAGTGTAAGCTATTCTGAGGAAAGCATTGCATTTTCTTCTGTGCTTTAGATAGGGCTGAATGTGCTGTTGGTGTGCAGAAAATTATAGCAGTAATAATAAGTAGTGTTTTGCTGTTGCCTTGGGCTGTAGCACAGTGCTTGTAATGATGCTGTATCAGAATTCCAGAGACTTCTTTATTTAGCAGTGACCATATCTTCACTGCTGCTTTGGTGCTTAGCACGTGTTAAACAAAGTAAAAGATTTTAAGCTTTTGACTGAGATAAGTGTCAGTTACATAAAAGCCTGGGAGATAAATTTCACTTGAGGGAAAGATAGGAATCCAGATCTGGACCTATAAATGATTTTTCAGTGTACACAAAGTACTCGCATTATAATATTAAATAAACAACACCTAAGTTAAATAAACGGTATAGTGGGAACTTGATTATTCTTTAATAAGATCCTAGTAACCACAATAAACTATGTCAGAAATGTGCCTTCTTTGCTCTAGTGGTCAGCTTTCCCCACACGGTGGTTATATTTTTCCTTTCAGCACACAATTCATTTGAACTGGTACATGAAAACATCTGAGCAACACTCTCTTCTTTGTTGTTTTTCCCTATCAAAGTCTTCTGCATCTGAGTGCTATGTCAAAATGTGATTTCCAAAGTCTCGAGACTCATTTTAGTTGTCTAGGGTTGGAAATCTTTTCTAATAGCTGTTTAAGATGGCTGTCCATCTTTTCTCCTGCTTGTACTTAGCATCCACAAAGACTGTGGCACTCACAACAGCTGTGTATGTGTAAAGGCTGACACTCCTATGAAATCTATGTTTCTGCAGCTCCATCCATAGCCAGCCATCCTGCTGCAATGCTGATGGTTTGGAGACTGGGAGTTCCCACACTACTAGTCCAAACAGCAAGATTAAAAGCTGGTTTCTAAAAGGTCACTGAAAGCACAGATCTTACAATTTATCAGCAGCCAGTGCTATTTGGTGGCAGAAGCTCCCTGCATCAGCAAAGAAGGCTGTATGGGACCAGCTACTTAAAGTTATTGAGATGTCTAGGTTCCACCGATGTCAGGCATGCATCTTGTTTCAGTCTGACTTTTGGTTGATCTCAAAATGAGTATTGTCTGCAGCTCCTATTTAGGCAACTAAATGAAGTGGTCTAGTTCCTAATGGCAGCTGCAGTGGATGTAGCACACTGGGAAATCTGACCTCTGTGTTTATGTATCTAAATGAGAACCAAGCTCTACTGAAAGATCCCTTAATGGCTAAGTGACGCAGATGGTGGGAAGAAACCTGGTATCTAAGTTGAAGCACAGTTGATAAAATTAGCCCTTAATGTTTCAATGAAACAGTAAATTACAATTCAAAACCATACTATCTTCAGTGAAATGCCTTCATTGTTATATGACTTTAAAATAAAAGACAAAATAAAAATTCCAACTCCCTGAAATTAGACTGAAAAAATCAAGCATTTCCAATGGAAAGATTTCTGTATGAACCATTGATTTACAAATGAGGACTCTGCTCCAGAGCACCCTTTGACAAACTTGTGGTATGAAGCTGCCTTGCTCCATCCTCCAACTAGTTTCTGGCCTTTACTCCAATTCTACCTTTTCCTCTTTCAGGACCAAGCAATGATGAAGACTATGTCTGGTGGAAACTGCACCCTGAACGTGCCAGCCAAGAACTCCTACCGCATGGTAGTGCTGGGAGCTTCCAGGGTAGGGAAAAGCTCCATTGTCTCACGCTTCCTCAATGGCCGGTTTGACGACCAGTACACTCCCACCATCGAGGATTTTCATCGCAAGGTCTACAACATCCGGGGAGACATGTATCAGCTGGACATCCTGGACACCTCTGGGAATCATCCTTTCCCTGCCATGAGGAGGCTTTCCATCCTAACAGGTGAGAAGTGGGCGGAAGTTTGCAGATGGGGAACTGTGGGTGAGATGATGACAGACATTAGCTTGAAAACTGTAGCCTGGAGAGGACTTCTTCTTAGGAGGCAGCTAAAAATTCTGATTGATTTTGTTGCAAGATGCACTTCTCTGGAGAGAGATTTCCTGGCCAGGATACTCCAGGCACTATAGGGAGTGCATTAGTCACAGAGGAGAAACCCACTGGGTGAAGGTCTGAAATGGAGAATTCCCCCTAGTTAATTTCTCTCCTCCTACCTTCCCTTTCTGCTCCATATTCAGCCAAATGAATGGCTGAATAAAATCTTGTGAGCATAAAGAGCAGCAAGGGACAAAATAAGCATGTCATTATAAGACACAAGCAGTGAGAAACAAATGTAAAATGCACAGAAATGGAATTGTAACTAAGGAAATTTCAAATATTTTCTTTTTCCTAAAATTTCCAGCCCAATGCCTTTGATTTGATATTCCAGTAAAAGGACAGTCCTACTTTTGCCCTTTCTCTTTAGTCCATGGGTAATCAAATGAATTAAAGAGAAAAAAGGGAAAATTGTAGGCTGTTTTTGTACATTCTCATTTTCAAGCAGTACCTATAGTGAGCTAGGATGTATTCTCTAACTGTGAAACTGACAGCAAAGATATTCAGCCATGGCTCACAACAAATCTACTTTCTGGATTTGCTGTCTACCCTTCTAGGTAGATACATGATGAAACATGATGTTTGTATCTGACCAGACTAATGTCTACATTCAGTGAAGTCCCTAGGGCCCATTTCTGAGATGCGGGTGTAAGCTTTTGTCCTGAAAGCTCTCTTAGCATGTATCCACATGAATGTCATTCAACAGGCAATGATGTGTGTTATTTTGTATTTGTGAAGTGAATTTTAAGTCAGGAAATGTCAAAAGGAAATGCCAGGGGATCTGTGTCATTTAAGTATTTCTTTTTTTCCATGGTCTGTTTCTCTTGAGCAAATGAAATGGTAGCAGAGCACTGCACATTGCGAATCCTGGCTTAGGCATTCAGGACTGAGTAGCTGTAAGTTCAGTTCAGGTGTTGCTTCTTATATTGTATAACCAAAAGGCCAAGGCTGAGTGGATATTAGCTCTCCATTCTTCCTGGTGTCAGAACAGGCCCTGTTTTACACAGAGATACACACAAAGGGAAGCAAAAAGATAAGCAATGCAGCTGAGATGAGACAGAAACATGTTTACAAAAGAGAGTACAAATGGGCAATAATTTGCAAGTCCAGTGCAATGTAGGAACACACAATTGGATATGACTGAAGTAACATCATAGCCAAAAATATTTTCCATAACACAAGATAGAGGAGTGGGGAGTTGAATTAGAATAATTGGAACTAAAATGCAGCCCAATTAACAGGTTCAAAAGGATCAGACAAAAAGTATATGGAAGACTTAGCAAATCAACCTACTGCTTTTTGAAAATTATCTCTTCTGACACAGGTTGCAACCAACAAGCCTTTACATATCCTTTTTTTTAATTGCAGGGGATGTGTTCATCCTGGTATTCAGTTTGGACAACAGAGAATCCTTTGATGAGGTCAAGAGGCTCCAGAAACAGATCCTTGAGGTCAAATCCTGCCTGAAAAACAAGACCAAGGAATCAGCTGACCTCCCCATGGTGATTTGTGGCAACAAAAATGACCACAGTGAAATCTCCCGCAAGGTACGCTCAGATGAAGGCGAAAACCTTGTCTCCAGTGATGAAAACTGTGCTTACTTTGAAGTTTCTGCCAAGAAGAACACCAACGTGGATGAGATGTTCTATGTCCTCTTCAGCATGGCCAAGCTACCTCATGAGATGAGCCCTGCCCTCCACAGGAAAATCTCCATCCAGTACGGTGACACCTTCCAACAGAAATCCTTCCGGATGCGCCGAGTCAAGGACATGGATGCCTATGGCATGATCTCTCCCTTTGCTCGCCGGCCAAGCGTTAACAGTGACCTGAAGTATATAAAATCAAAAGTTCTCAGGGAAGGTCAGTCAAGGGAGAGGGAGAAGTGCACGATCCAGTGAAGGGGCTTGCAGTACTGTCTGAAGTCATCATCTACATGCAGTGCCTTAAAGAAAAATGGTCTGTGGAAGCACAGAATGGGCTCCAGGGTTCATTGAGAAACCCCAGCATGGAGGATGGATAACCCTTACTGCAGATTCTGCTCAGTCACAAATGTAAATAACATCATCCTTGTCAATGACTGGGAAAAAAACACACATATGCCTGAGATATGAGTGCATTTCTCTGTCTTTGTAATGTAGATCCTCTTCATTGTCCTTTTCATTTAAAGAATACAGACCTGAGAAGGAAAGAAACTTTCACCTCATCCTTACAAAGGAAGTAGGTCGAAAATGCACAGAAGGCACTGACAGCTACCCAGCATGCAGCTCTTGCTAGAAGAGGTTATGTGGAGGCGAGTGTGTATCTATCTCTGTGTGTATGTGTGCCTGCATGTGTGTGGAGCACTTCTTTAAAAACTGGGACTTGCATTTCAAAGGGCAACAGTCTTACTGAGGTTTCCCAGATTGGGAGTGAACTCTATATGGACGCATGACTCTAACTCACTTCTGAGGGGACCTGCATTAAGAAGATCTTGATTATCACTTGACATCAACATGAATGTTATTTTGTATTACAGATTTTATTTGTTTGTTGAGTTTTTTTTATTGTATGGGGGTGGGCTCTTAGGAAAATCAGAGAGCAAGTGCATTTGGTATCAAGACAGTGTCTACTTTCTAGCAGTGAAAGGTGTTTTTCATCTGTAAAACTATGTAATATGTAATTGACTGAAAGTGAAATTGTTCTGCAAAAAGCCAATACATCTGACTGCTCTGCAAGCCTGGTGTCATATTGTTTCTCAAGCAGCCACACTGCCTCTGAATACCTTAGTACAAATGCCACCCCTTACCTTGTTGACTACCGAAAAATTAAGAACTGAACAATTGTAGGGCCAGCTCCATCACAATTCTTCTGTTGACATGCGTTCAGTAATTTTGTGCATGGTTTTCCCTGTTGTCTAATAAAGGTTGCCTTGATGGAAACCTTTGCACTGCAGAAGTCTTTCAGAACAGAAGCCTGGTGCTGTCTGTCCAAACAGGGCTGAACTGGCTGACAAAATAAACCTGGGACTATCAATTCACTTCTTGCCCTTCCCAGCCCAGTCCAGGCTTCTTTGTCTTCAGCTTTCTCCCTTTTCTGCTTTTGGCTTTGTTGTTCAGTGTGGTCCTGTATGCCCTCAAAGCCAAATATATTCTCTCAGATGTGAGCTTGCCACTCTTCACTGACTGGAATGAGATGTGTGCACACATAACTGTGGGCAAAGCATGGCCCAAAGACTGTACACAACAGCAGAGTATATACATTATATATACCTCAAAAAAACCTTGTCCCTTCCTTACCCTCAAACTCTGCTCTGGTCTGTATCTGCCTTGCTGTGTCCTGGACAGAGCTGTGAGCCAGTTAATGCTATAATTTGACAGGAAACCAAGAATGATGGTTGTAACATCTAGCCTCTGGGACTCAAAATCCCATATTCATTTAGCAGCTCCACCCTCCCCTGGTACTGTATATCGACTGGTAAAATACACTGTTCTTTTATTCCTCTTGTCAGGGCAGCACCTTTCAGACCATGCCCCCCCCCCCCATCTATAAAAATGTACATGGTTTATGATTAAACTTGTTTTATTTATTAGCTATGTCCTGGTCCTTTTTTACTTTCTCCAAGAATGGTGAGGAAGGTGCTATTTTTTGTTGTGCAGGT